AATATCAGTTTGTACATGCTCCAGAGATCTTCTCTTCAAATTATTTAATTCTCACTCGCTTTTGCATCTTTGTACTTTTGTGTTACTCGCAGCAACAACTCCACCTCATTGTTAGTCCATTTAAAAAACTCGGTGCTTTTCCTCAACATTTTGCCGCGACATTTCAAAGAGCCTGAAACTAAATAAACGGCAGACAGAAGGCAGGTCGAATCTTCTTGTTTCACGCATGCCGCACGCAGGCCGTTACAATGTGGACGCGCAACTCTGTGAAAACGACTGAAAGCGCTAGTGTGAACGTTGAGCATTTTCAGACAAAAATGCCGTTTTCAAATCTATCCAGGCTAGTGTGGACGTAGCCAAAGAGTACTCCTGAGAGTGTTAGTGCCTTTCAGAGTCATAAATGATGCTATCCAACTGCCTGTTAGGGTACCTGGGCCGTCGACCCACTGTTTGTCCAGCAATAAAGCTAAGTTTGAGGTTACTTCCGCCTCTGTGAGTCTGCATATTGGGTCCCCAAATCTGCCTGCCACACACAGCCCATGACACTGACTTTTACTAAAAGCTGACCGTGTCATTTGGTGTCAGTGCACGGCTTAAATCACCAGACTGTCATGCAGGAAAATGGGGTTTGTGTGCTTTTAGAGAACTTCATGGGGTTTTTTTTTTCTTGAACTGTTGGAATTCGGAACATATTCCATTAAACAATGTGTTCGATCAACTTAGTAGATCCATGTTTATGTTTATCATATATACACTACCAGTCTGTTTACTACTTTTTACATTGTAGATACATACTGAAGATATCAAATACCCAATTTCCTTGAGGGCCAACCTTCGGGATCAATAAAGTTTATTGAATTGAATTGAATTGAAATATATAAAGCAAGATATATGGAAGTATGCAGCAAAGAACAAAATGACAAAATGACTCTAAATATGTCTTATATTTTAAATTCCTCAAAGTAGCCACCCTTTGCTTTGTTGACAGCGCTGCAAACCCTTGGCCTTCTGTTAATGATCTTAATGATGTAGTCGCCTGAAATGGTTTTCACTTCACAGGTGTGCTTTGTCAGGGTTCATTTGTGGAATTTCTTGCCTTCTTAGCTGGGATGGGACCATCAGTTGTGTTATGCAGAAGTCAGGTTGGTACACAGCTGACACCCTGTTTCACAACATATGTTAGAATTCATATGATGGCAAGAAACAAACAGCTAAGAGAAACAGCAGTCCATCATTGCTTTAAGAACTGAAGGTCAGTCAGTCTGGGAAATTGCTAAAACTGAATGTGTCCAAGTGCAGTCGTGAAAACCATGGAGTGCTACCATGAAATTGAGGACTGCCACAGGTAACGAAGACCAAGAGTTACCTCTGCTGCTGAGGATAAATTCATCCAGTCACCAACCTCAGAAATTAACAGCACCTCTGATTAGAGCCCAGATAAATGCCACACAGAGTTCCAGTAGCAGACACATCTCTACATCAACTGTTCAGAGGAAACCACGACTAAGGAAAAGCAACAAGCAGAAGAGATTAGTTTGGGCCAAGAAACACAAGGAATGGACAGTAGACCAGAGGAAATCTGTGCTTTGGTCTGATGAGTCCAAATTTGAGATATTTGGTTCCACCCGTTGTGACTTTGTGCGATGCAAAAGATGAACAGATGGAATTTGCATGCATGGTTCTCACCATGACGCATGGAAGAAGAGATGTAATGGTTTGGTAGTGCTTTGCTGGTGACACAGTTGGGGATTTATTCAAAACTGAAGGAACACTGAATCCTGCAGTTGGACCATCATTTATTTTTCAACTCGACAATGACCCCAAACACACCTCCAGGCTGACCAAGAATGAAAGTGATGAAGTGCTGCGCCAGTTGACCTGGCCTCCACAGTCACCTGATCTAAACCCAGTCGAGATGTTTTAGGATGAGATGGACCGCAGAGGTAAAGCAAAAGGGCCAACAAGTGCTCAGCATCTCTGGGAACTCTTTCAAGTCTGTTGGAAAACCATTTCAGGTGACGACCCCATGAAGCTCAGTGAGAGAATGCCAAGAGTGTGCAAAGCAGTAATCAAAGCAAAGCGTGACTATTTTTAAGAATGTAAAATATAAAACATGTATTGACTTTTTTCACACTTTTTTGTTTTCTGCATAATTCCATGTGTGCTCATTTATAGTTTTGATGCCTTCAGTGAGAATCTTCAACATAAATAGTCGTAAAAATTAAAACAAACCATTAAATGTGAAGGTGTGTCCCAACTTTTGACTGGTAGTGTTTATCAATATTTCCAGGTAACATATTATCTGATTATTGTAATGGAAACGTCACCTTCAGTATATATTCATAGATTTAGTTGTGCCATTTGTTTCTGATCAGTGAATACTTATATAGTGAATATATCTTTGCAGGTGTTATGAGGAAAAAACTGCAGCCTGTGAACTCAAAAGACGTATATTCAGCTTCAGTCGTCAAACCGTGAACTCATCACTAGAGGTGAGCACATTTTTGGGGGGTGAGTTTGTTGTTTTTATAATATCTTTTCCTGAAAGATCTATAAATACTTGAGACAAGGAACAAGGTGCAAGCAAAGGTAACTTTTGTAAATTATAACCTGTGTTATATATATTTGTATTGATATACTGTAGAGGATGTATGCATTCAGATCTTTTTTCATGCTCTTGTTTGTGCTTTTCAGGGTGATATGAACCCTACATTTCACCACAGAATTCACATCCCATCCTCAGCTTTCAAAGGAGCTGCCACCACAGTGATGGCTTCTGTTATCAACAGCACTTATTTTAAGGTAAGTAGAACCTTAAGAGAGAACCTTAGTCCCATCATACCGTAAGAATACATAATTTAAGTATTGTTTTTCATAGAAACATTTTGCATCAACTTTTTTTTTCCAAAAATTTTGTTTATTTACTTTATATCCTCTGTCCCTTGAAGTGGAGATCAGGTCTTGTTTGATTGCAGAATGATATGATGGCTGAGCAAGGCAGAAAGGATTTTACTCAGAGCTGTAGAAGTGTATTTATAGCTGTCCGAAGGTGATGTTGAAGAAAGCCAGACGTTAGAGACACGAAGGTGAAAGTTCAGATGGAGGATGGCAGCTTTTGAAAAGCCTGAGCAGGGGCAAAATGACGACATCCAAAAGTCCATTATGGCTTTGCAAGCTAGGGCGCTAAAGTTGTAGGATTTGGATTCTCAACAGGACACTGCCCTACAAAACGAATCATCTTTCCATGGCATCCTCGAGGCGATCGGGCGATCGTGGCTCAAGAGTTGGGAGTTCGCCTTGTAATCGGAAGGTTGCCAGTTCGAGCACCGGCTTGGACAGTCTCAGTTGTTGTGTCCTTGGGCAAGACACTTCACCCGTTGCCTACTGGTGGGGGTCAGAGGGCCCGGTGACGCCAGTGTCCGGCAGCCTCACCTCTGTCAGTGCGCCCCAGGGCAGCTGTGGCTACAATGTAGCTTGCCATCACCAGTGTGTGAATAGGTGGATGACTGGATATGTAAAGCGCTTTGGGGTCCTTAGGGACTAGTAAAGCGCTATATAAATACAGGCCATTTACCATCCTTGTTGCATTCTCTTTAAGAGTCCTCACTTTTCAGAGGGCTTTATTATTTTCCCACGTATCAGTAGGAATGGGAACTGATAAGAATTTAGCAATGCTGATTCCATTATCAATAATTTTTACCCACTCGATTGCTTATCGATGCTCATTAGGTTCTCGTGGGCTGTGCTTTGAGAGTCACCACCACCACCACCAGCAGCATGTCAAAGATATAACATTCATGCAAATGAATTGCATGCTGTGAGCTATTTCCCCTCTTTGTTGTTATCAGAATTGGGGTCTTTTAAAAAGTAATGTATTACACATTGCACGGGATACTTTTCTTCAAAGTAACGCAGTACACTACTTAGTTACATCTAGGGCAACATAATTCGTTATACTACTCCTTACATTACTTTTGCCTTTCTCTGTAAAATGGCCCAAAATTCACTCTTTCATAATTACCATTTCACAATATAAACCTACAGCCTACAGTCCCACACACAACAAAAATCCCATTTTCAACACTGACATTATTGTCATGTGTCTGCCTCATTGCAGCTGAGTCCTCCTCAGAAAAGTAGATTCCAATTCCACCGCAGAGAAGGCACTGTGCTCGGAGGATTAGTCCTCGCGGTGAAGGCAGTTAACATGGCGGAAAATGGTGAAATCATCAGAAATCTCTTACAACCCATCATGTTATTCTTCAAACACAACAAAAAGGTAAAAATACAAACATAGTTGGGCTAACATCATATTTAGAAAATGGAATAACCTATTTCCCTCTTATTTTGATTTAGTCTTCACAGATTACAGATGGGACTTGTGTATTTTGGCAGGAATCAGACAATGGAACAGGTGCTGTTATCGATGTCATTGTTTGGTATTTTTATTTCTAAGTAAAAAGGCGATGCACACTTACTTGCTCTGATTTTTTTTTTCCTGTGTAGGTTACTGGAGTGTTAAAGGCTGCAAGACCAATAAAACTGAAGATGAATTTATTTGCAGCTGCGACCATCTCAGCTTCTTTGCTGTTCTTGTGGTAATATAATTTAACAGAAAATGATCAAACTTGGTCATAAAAATATATTTTGTCTTATTATTGTTTAGCAGCTGTAACTCGGCACAG